CACTGAATGATGTCCATTCCAATTGTTTTGTACATAAAACGACATTTTATGTCAAAAAAGTATACTAGTTTGGCTTCAATTCTTCCATATTCTTTCAAACAAAATGTTCCCTCATTTCAAATTCTCGTAAATTCCGTAAATTTCCTCTGAATTTGACACGATTTTCAACAAACAGAAGCGCCATGTTTAGCAAAACTTTGTATGCGATATATAAAAATTCTCTACTTTTCTGAATCTGTACATTATATCGATTAAAATGATGTCTTACTGTAAGGATTGCGACCATCGATAGTAAAACTACAGCTCATTTTTTATGTCACATAGTATTGGCATATTGGCCAGTGGCAAATAGTTAAACTGGCATATTCCAAACATTTCCTGTATCACATTTTCATCAGTTATACAAAGAAAAAAAATCATAAAATTGGGTTTCTTTTGAATAAATAGAATAAAAACTATGAAATAAACATAAATAAAGTTACTTTAAAAACATTTTGTCCCTAGTATTATATGAACTAAGGTGTAGCTGAGTTGAGAAAAATATTGAAATAGTGTATTTCTTAGGCACGGCACTTGTAGCTTTTTGACTATAAAAAGTACCAAATATATAATATAATGAATAAAAATGTATATAACACTGATCAGTAGTAAAGATCAAAGTAGAAAAAATCTACAATTTTCATGTGCAACTTTTGGTTCCAAATATATGAGAGAATGAATAAAAATATTATGACGTCGCAAAAAGATGAAAAAACTTCAAAATTTGCACACAGTCTGGTTTTCTTATATCTGGTTGCTATGTACAAATCTGTAATATTTGCATTAAATATACCAAACTGATGCTTTTAAATTAATGTATGCATGCCATATGATATTTTTCAGAATTGTTTTACTCCACTCACTAACACATTTCTATGCTAAAACCTCACTATATTATATGTTTGACCCTTTAAGGGTGCAATCAACAGTTTTTTTCTATGACGTCATATTTTAAGGGACCATGCCTAAGTGACCCTTAGTGGTGGAATGGTTAATAAAGATACTTTATAAAACTAGATATCACTGGAATCAGAATTTTCTCTAGTTTATATTGAAATAAAAATATAGTGTACTTTTAGTATGGTAAAAAAGTTCTATCCAGAGAAAATGGGGAAAAAGTTGCCTAATCTGAACATAAAAAACCTGAAATCAGCTCATGTACATACCCATGTAAACATGATACAGGCACATTTCCCATAATCAAAACTGTATGAAATTCATAGGTTTTTACCTGGCCTTTAATAAAAATCATGTTTCAGGGTACAGTTTCCTGCTTCGAAAAGAGCTACAGTGGCTGCAAATAAGTTTTCAATTTTCACTGCCAAAAAAACAGGATGTTTACAGTGTTGTCTCCCCTCAAAACATGTATATTTAATCAAATTTTAAAAATTATTTTAATCATTCAACCTGTTTAAATTGAAAGCTAATTAACTAATTTATACAATCAAATACAAAAAACATGATACTTTTTCACCAATTATATGAATAAAAAGGGATTTCCCTCCATGGTTATTTTTAGTCGGGGAATAACCCCTAGTATTTTATACGAAACTGTTTATAGCACCCTTACACTTTCATCTGGGTATTCAACAAAGAAAGATAACTCGTGTTTGCACTGTTTTGACCGGGAAATATAAAATAGGTATTCCGATCCCGGTAAAACAGGACTCATCGTCAACTGTCTGAAGCTTGAATCCCGGTAAACCGGGACTCATCGGCGAAAGGGTTAAGGAAAAAGTAAATAGTTACTGATACATAATACCAGTATAAAACCTGGTCCCATAGACAGTTAGCTACATGTTCTTGTATTTGTCTTGTGTCATGTCAGTTTTGAATCTATTGTTTGACTGGTTGTATTTTATGTTATTTTTAAATTTACTCTAGTTTCATAACTAAGTACCAAGCGTATTTTAAAAGCAGAGAACATTTTGATAAGCTACATGTATTTTTGTATACTTGATTCAATGTATTGTTTTGTATTGTCTTACTAATAATGTGTACATGTCTATGTTTTATTTGTATATAACTTATGTCTATCTTTGTCTATTTATGTCTATTTATGTACTTGCAGGGTTATTGTTTATACGACATAATAAAAGTATTGACATGCAATCTAGTCTGCTCTACCGCCCACTTTACCCTACTATAATTACAATCAAATGTTCAATATAAATAACATTTCAAAGAGACGCGACTCTTGTAAAAATAATAGATCAGTGTAGATTTTCATCCAAAAAATAGCAGATAACAACCTATGATATTAATTTCATAACAATCCTACATGAAATGTAGACGGTGAGAATGCTTACACTGCAGATTCTCGAACCCTCCAAAACATTGCTAATATAAATTTCATTAATATTTGACAAGAATTGTATACTTGAGAGTGCTTACAACGCAATTTCTATAAAATTCACATTTCTAAGGGACATAACTCCTGTAAAAATAATTGTTCAGCTAGTTGTCAGAGACATTGCTGATATAAACCTTTGATACAAATTTCATAAATATCTGGCAAGAATTGTACACTGACAATACAATTGTCTATAAAATTTACATTTCTAAGGGACATATATGTATAACTCCTTAAAAAATAATTGTTCAGCACAGATTTTCAAACTCCCCTAAATCATTGCTGATATAAACCCTTGATATAAGTTTCAGAAATATTTGGCAAGAATTGTTAACTTGAGAGAACTTGCAATGCAATTTTCTATAGAATTTACATTTATAAACTCATTGTTGAACAGTTTGCTTAAGCAAACCAGTATGATGCTTCATTTAACATAATGGTCAAGAAAACAAATTTATAGATAGATCAGTAATAACTGGTTCTATTTTTTTTCTAAGGTAAAGGAAGTATCAGTTCATAATAGACACATCAAATTTGTTTAGAATCAAATTCAAAGAATTAAAACACCATTACATAATTTTTTTAAGTTAAGTTTAAAGTTGAAAACAATATACATTATGGCCCTGTCCATATGGCTGAACCCAAACATCAAAATAGATGGCAAGATGATTTTGAAGTTCAAAAATATTGAACATTGTGTATTCTTTATTTTATACAAAAGTGCACATGCTGAAATGTCTCGCCTTCTTTACTAACCATTGATTTTATGTTGATAGTCCTAAATACAAAGCTTTACTACAAGTAACACATAAACTTAACATGATCCAAGAAAATGAGGTGAAGGTCAGATAAACCAAACGAGAAATACATGTACACCTTACAATCATTCAATAAACCAAACATAGTTGACCTATTGCTTATTGTTTCTAAGAAACAGTCTTAAACAAGAAAACTTAACATTGACCAATGAACCATGAAAATGAGGTCAAGGTCAGATGAACCATGCCAGACAGACATGTACACCTTACAATCAATTTAGGCATTAAATATAGTTGACCTATTGCTTATAGTATCTAAGAAACAAACTTAACCATGAAAACTTAACATTGACCAATGAACTATGAAAATGAGGTCAAGGTCAGATGATACCTGCCAGACAGACATATACACCTTACAATCCTTCCATACAACAAATATAGTTGATCTATTGCTTATAGTTGAAGAAAAACAGACCAAAACACAAAACTTAACACTGAGAAATGAACCGTGAAAATGAGGTCAAGGTCAAATAAAACCTGTGAGACTGACATGTACATCATAAAATATTTCCATACACCAAATATAGTTGACCTATTGCATATAGTATTAGAAAAAAATACCAAACTCAAAAACTTAACTTTGACCACTTAACCATGAAAATGAGGTCAAGGTCAGATGACACCTACCAGTTGGACATGTACACCTTACAATCATTCCATATACCAAATATAGTAGACCTACTGCTTAAAGTATCTTAACCTTGTTCACTGATCCATGAAATGAGGTGGAGGTCAAATGAAAATTGTCTGACGGGCATGAGGACCTTGCAAGGTACGCACATACTACATAGTTATCCTATTACTCATAATAAGAAAGAAATTAACATTACAAAAAATGTTGACTTTTTTTCAAGTAGTCACTGAACCATGAAAATGAGGTCAAGGACAATGAACATATGACAGACAGAAACTTCGTAACAAAAGGCATATATATACAAAGTATGAAGCATCCAGGTCTTCTAGCTTCTAAAATATAAGACTTTTAAGAAGTTAGCTAACGCCACTGCCGCCGGATCACTATCCCTATGTCGAGCTTTCTGCGATAAAGTCGCAGGCTCGACAATAAAAAAATTACAAAAAAAACAATAATATAAATTACATCAGACATTCAAATTTGAATAGAAAACAAAACAGTTCATGGGGATCATAGCTCTCCATATTTCTTTCAGGATTTCCTTTACTATAGATCTTGTCAGATCCTGAAATTTTGAATTTCAGATATTAGCACACACTTAATTGCATGAATTTATCTGAAAGAAAGTCTACAAATATAACGGAAATCACTTAACATTATATCAAAGTTTGAAAAGCATTGGTTAAATAGTTCATAAGTAATTGCAAGGAAACAATAGGGGACTCCAACCATACTGCAAGCCTACCCGCCTTGCACGCCCAAATCAATAACTAGATTTCCATCAAAAAATTTGGTTAAAAATGAAACATAGAGATGATACACATTGGTTGCCAAAAAATTGTTTTTCTTGTTAAAACTTAACTAAACTCTGATATGTGGTCTCTAGAAATGTTACATTTTAGCTAATCTTCTTAAATACCTAATTTTTCACTTCTTAATATATATTTTCAACAATACCTGCACAAATTTACATCACACATTCTCTGTGAACTCTAATAACCAGGAATTTAATTTCACTCCAGAACAAACATAAATCTGCTTGGCACAATTGTCTAAGAGAAGATATCAGCATGACATGGTTTCAATAATAGCCTTACTAGGTAAAGTGGTACCATATGGAAACTTGGTAATAAATTCTTTTAAATGCATTACCAACCTTTCCCTTTTTAACTAAATCTTGAACTTCATCAACCTGTATATCACAAATCTGGTAAAACATCTGCCTACAAGGTGGTAACCTATCTGGTCTGTATATATGAACTGGCTCCTGAAAGATCAAATATTGTAATCAGCACACTATATAATTTGTTCATTAACCCCTTTGCCTGAGTCCCCTACTACATGTGCTCTAGTGCCCAAGATAAACAGATGCTTCATATATAATTTGTTCATTAACCCTTTTGCCTGAGTCCCCTACTACATGTCCTCTAGTGCCCAAGAAAAACAGATACTTCATATATAATTTGTTCATTAACCCCTTTGCCTGAGTCCCCTACTACATGTGCTCTAGTGCCCAAGAAAAACAGATACTTCATATATAATTTGTTCATTAACCCCTTTGCCTGAGTCCCCTACTACATGTGCTCTAGTGCCCAAGAAAAACAGATACCGGTACTTCATATATAATTTGTTCGTTAACCCCTTTGCCTGAGTCCCCTACTACATGTCCCAAAAAATCCCATGCTCATTTAACTTAGTCTGAATAAGCAGGGATACAGTTTGTCCTACCAAGTTGTTGTTTCTCTTTGCAAAAAAATCAAAAAATTGAAACAAAGTCGGTAATTTGAAAAAGACTGTATGTCCAAAAAATTTGGTCTATATCTGCAGCTACCTTGAAAAAAAGGACACACTTACATATTTCTAAATGACAGATAAAATGACAGAATGATTGGATAAGGTGCCCCTTAGCAGTTAGAAAAACAGATATTCCAGATAATACGTGCTCCATTAATTAATTCAAAATTTGTTAGTAATACAAGAGTGCACATGCTGAAATGTCTCGCCTGCTTTACTGACCATTGATTTTATGTTGAAAGTCTTAAAGATAAAGGTTTTACTAAAAGCATTACAGAAATTTAACATTTTTACAAAACTATGACAATGAGATCAAAATCAGATAAATTGTGTCAGACAGACATATACAATTTTTATACACCAAATATAGTTGATCTATTGCGTATGCTAATTGAAAAACAGACCAAAACACAAAAACTTAACATTGACCAATAAACCATGAATATGAGGTCAAGGTCAGATTATATCTGCCAGACAGACATGTGTACCTTACAATTATTCCATACACCAAATATAGCTGACCTATTGCTATTAGTATTTGAAAAACAGACCAAAACACAAAAACTTAACATTGACCATTGAACAATAAAAATGAGGTCAAGGTCAGATGATACCTGCCAGACAGACATCTACATCTTACAATCATTCAATACTCCAAATATAGTTGATCTATTGCTTAAAGTACTAGAGATACAGACCTAAACACAAAAACATAAAATTAACCAATGAACCATGAAAATGAGGTCATGGTCAGATGATACCTGCCAGACAGACATCTACATCTTACAATCATTCCATACACCAAATATAGTTGACCTACTGCTTATAGTATTTGATAATCAGACCTAATCACGTAACTTTAACCTTGATCACTGATTCATGCAATGAGGTGGAGGTCAGGCAAACTCTGTCTGACGGACATGAAGATGTTGCAAGGAACCCATATACCAAATATAGTTATCCTATTACTTATAATAAGTGAGAAATTTACATGACAAAAAACTCAAATTTGTTTTGTAAGCAGTCACTGAACCATGTAAATGAGGTCAAGGACAATGGACATAGGATTGACGGAAACTTTGTAACATAAGGTATCTGCATACAAGATATGAAGCATCCAGGTCTTCTACCTTCTGAAATATAAAGCTTTAAATAGTTTACGTTGCCGCTGCCTGATAGTAATACCTATGTCTCGCATACTGTAACTGCAAGACAGAAATGAATACTTACTGATTCTGTGGCTGTTCCTTGTTTTTGCTTACTACCACTTGGTTTGTTTATATCAAGACTCTCCAAATCTATTTTAGGAACGTTTGGTGCATTGCGTTTCAGAGCTGGGAATGCTAATGTATTTTCTGATCTCTTACATTTTATTGCCACCATATCTCCACAGGAAGCTACAAAGGTAAATGAAAGGTTCTAATACACAAAGTCTTATTGTTATTCCATTGATTGAATGACACATTCTAGTTATACAATGTATTTGATGCAACTCTAAGCTATGAAACAGAACCATATATCAATCAATGCATAAAAACTTCGCTCAGAAGTTATATAGTTTGCTACTGACCCTACAGATCCATAGAGGGTTAGTAAAATCTATAAGGGGTTGAGGCCAAAGGCTTCTCCTACAACTTGTAGTATCTTAGAAAGACATGACCTCCAAACAAAAACATTAAAGTTTATCTCTCAAGAAACACATATATTTTCCATTGATCCTTTTGTAGTCAATTTTTTTTTGGTGTGGCAATAACTGGCATCTTTGAACCATAATTGTATCTTTTTAGGATTTTTTAGATGGGTTTCTTTAAGAGGATTATAAATGTATCATTTACAAAAATTATGGCTGCATCCGTTCCTTTACATGTTTGCTCAGAAACAAGAGAATTTTTAAATACCGTAGAAAGGCTTGTATAGTTCGCACTGGTACATAGTCCGCACCCCCTTCTCCCCACGAAATTTTAGGTAAAAAAACTTTTTGTAACTGTTAGAAAAGGTCTAATGAAACTCCGGTAATTTCAAATCCTGTGCGGTCGTTTGCGGTATTTTCTTGGGAAAACCTGTTTTCCATCATCAAACAGAAGCTGAAACTGCTTGTAAATGATTCTAGAACGCTTCATGATTGTTAAAATAAGTTTTATTCACTTAAAAAACAATTTAGAAACTTGTGTATGTTTAAACAGGAAGTTTAAAAAGCACGTGTAAAAGAAGTAACTAACCGGTGAGAGTCGAAATCCGTACATAACAGATATCACTTTAATACGACTTTGAAAGTAAAACAGTTCCATCCTTTTGTAAAACAGTCTTTAATATATCTATCACATTAATGTTTGAAGATCTTAAGCTAACACAAACCATATTAGTCAGTATGAAACACCAAAATGGAACGAACAATAACCGATTACGTTTTGTAGTTTACAAATTCTGAGCTGGTTTACGGTTGTCTTCACTGTGTTTGTATCGTTTCAATCAAGCAGATACCAGTTTATTTCAACCAATGCATTGAAAAGAAACGAGAAATTTGTAATGAAAGGTTTAGTTTTTATATTTATCGGTATTAATTTGATATTGAATAGAAATAACTTATAAATATGGATGAGCTAAAATTATTAGTTTGAAAAATGATAAGAGCGCCCTCTACAATATAAATAACAAAGATGGCGGAACGTAAACAACGACCTCGCCCGCGAAATTGAAATTTTTCTCTTATTTCTTGCTTATTGTACTCTATAGTCCGCACCCCTTCTGGAAGGTCCAATTTTGGAGAATAAAACCGCGGACTATACAAGCCTTTCTACGGTAATGTAAGATTTTAAATCTTTCATGGTTTGTTCTATATTCATGCTTTATATCATTTTGCTGGTGTATTTCTGTCAATTATTCTTCTTTTCATAATTTTAACAATAACAATTCAACAAGACTGATATTTACAATTGGTGCCTTAATTTCAGAATGACAAACAATGCATTTATGCAGAGATAAGATTAACATGTCTTTTAACTTTTGTTATTTACCTTGTCTTTTTCTATAGTCCACAGTTTGATACATCTTGGCCTCTGGATGTTTTTTGGGGTCATAACCATATCTGGTCCACAAACATCTCCATGGACCATTTGTGTAATAAAAAGCCACCAATGGTAACAAGTACTTCAGTTTGTCCTTAAATCCTGTGAAATGGTAATTCAATGCAGCTCTTGACCAAATAGGTCGTGTTTCAAATAGCTGTAATATAACAAATAGTGCTTTATATTCTATTTTAGTTTTAAATTTATGTTCATCATTCACTGGCTTTGAAGAAAATAAGGACTTATATGCCTAATTCCCTCAAGGTTGTTTGAAACTGGCCAAGTAGTTTTAGACATTAAATAAAGAAATGTTAATTCCAATTCAGTTAAATGGGTTTCCTTTGTGACATCATTCTAATAAGTACAAACTGTATAACATAAATTCCACACTGATAGAAAATCTTTGAGAAAGGTGTCAATTTCATCATTCCTATAAAGTTTGAAAGTTTTACAGAGAGGAAAATTGATTAATTAGAATCAAGAATAATGATTTTTATCTCCTTGGAATAAAACGAGGAACTTTCAATACAATATTCATTCAAATTTTGGCTCAGGTTGGTCAAAGAGCTACAGAGAAGAAAATAATAAAAGCTTCAAAAAAACATGTGTGATCTTATTTCCATTTCTTCATAAAATAGATAGGTGAAGGGAGATTACTCAATATTTTTTTTCAATTATTTGTATTCTAAATAAAATCAGTGAATGAATGCATATTCATGAAAGTGAACTTTCATTCTTAATTAAAGAAATGTCAGTAAATTTTTCTTTATTGTAAATTTTCTGCCTACTATTTCTCAAAATATCAATAATTAAAACTTTTTTTTTTACAGTAGACAGTCTTTGTGTATGACATTTAAGAGTTTAAAATCAGGACAAAATGTGATTTTTTTACAAAAACAGGCTATTTATTATTGGTCTGTGTTTGTATCACCCTGCTCAGCTGTATGTAAAATCCTCAATCATGAGTTTGTGAGGTTTTATGTGTTATTCCCCAGCCTGAATAACTTTGATTCTAAAGATTTAAAGTCTATACTGAATTAACAATTTTGACCCAAACTTATGAAGTCTTTTTTCAGTTGACTCTAATTAGTAAAGACAATAGTCAACATACTGAAAAGTCTCATAATATATGCAGGTAAATAAAAAGGTAAAAAGACTCAAATCAATGGGTAGCAACACTTTTGGTTTGTACTAAATAAGATCAATAAATAGATAACTAGTGTTTTTAGCAGAACCTTTAGTAGATTGAAAGAATATATATATACTTAAGCTAGCATCAATTTGAATGTTAGTGATGTTAGTGAGTAACAGTGATACCTTCTGATTTTTATAAATTTTAAAAACATAGGAAAACAACATTCTTTAATAATGTCAGATATGAGCTTAAACAGACTATCCCTACTTTGCAAAATCATATGTTTAATTTTATTTACTTTACTGTTTTTACTTAATATGTCAAATCTTGTCATCAAGGCATGGTTTACATTTACATTTTCTGAAAGCATGTCTTCTGAAGTTTAAAAAATGTGATTAGTTACGGTATCATACAATTTTTGAATTTTTTGCTGAACTGATAGGTGCAAATTAGCCCAAAAATGTACCTTTTCCTTTTACTGGACAAACGAAAGCAGATTTAAAAGACTTGAATTGAAAATTAAGTTAAACAAAAACTGACCTTCTTCAGTTCCTCTTCCTGTTTTGGTTTGAAGAATTTTTTATGTAACTCTCTGTCTGCCTCATCTGATGGACTTAATGGTACATCATCAACATAACTGACAAACAGTGTATACACTGTTCTTTTCTGACGAACTAAAATAAAGATATCATTTTTCATATGAAATTCCATATTAATCTGAGCAGATTTCTCAAAATTGCAGCATGAAGCTGAGCTTAAAGCTTTAAATTGCATGAGTTGTTTGAATGATTTTTTTTTTATTGTCTAGGTAATAAAATGAATCGTTAATGCTGATTCAACATACAATATAATAAGATAGGAAACATAATTTTTCAGGGAACACAACTGATAAATAATGCTGATATTTTTAAAAGCAGATTGAATTTCATAACATGCTGATATGTCTATCTTCTTCATCTTCATGTATAACATTATTAGATCTTTAACTTAATAATACATCTACTTTTTAATGATAAAGATGATGCTGAAAATTGAAGTCTTTTTGAAGAGCATACATATTCCTTTACTTACCTCGATAATGAAATTATTAATAAATTGCCTAATAGCATGATAAACATTGTATACCATTTCATATTTCATTTTATATTATGGTAAAGTGGGTTATCTATTGTTCAGGCCTCAATCATAAAGCCAATGATATAGGGTATTATTTCTTATAATAGTAAGGCCATTACATTATATTTAGTATTTAATTAACTTTGAAAAAATAATTAATACTATTTAAATAGCTACTTATAATGACTTCACCCCAGCTGCTTCATCCTCTTTCACAGGTAACACCTGCCTCATATTTATTCTGATATACATGTAGATAGATATTGGTAAATTATAATAAAATTTGGTTGGATAAATTTACCTGTAGACTGTTGATGCGTTAGCTATGTACATGTACATGATGTACAAAGCTTTCTTGAACCATAATGTAAAATTCAATATAGATGAAACAGTCATGTTAGGTGTCAGGTACAATATAGATGAAACAGTCATGTAAGGTGTCAGGTACAATATAGATGAAACAGTCATGTTAGGTGTCAGGTACAATATAGATGAAACAGTCATGTTAGGTGTCAGGTACAATATAGATGAAACAGTCATGTTAGGTGTCAGGTACAATTAGGTAAACTATATAATCCGTAATAATGAGAAAATAACTCTTCCTTAACTATAATTAAAAGGAAATGTGGCATATAAGTCCATTCGTTTGATGAGTTTGAGCTTTTGATTTTGCCATTTGATAAAGGACTTTCCGTTTTGAATTTTCCTTGGAGTTCGGTACTTTTGTTATTTTTCTTTTTTCTATGAGATAGCAAACCAATAACACATTTGAATAGGATCTCAGCTATCTCAAACATGTAAGGAATGAGAGAAAAGAAAACTATTTCCCTCAGATGTATGAGATTTTCCAAAATTGCAATTTAACTCAGTGTGAAACTTGACATATCTTAAAAACTCACTGGTTCCAATGAGATGTGTTGGTCTACTATGGTCTGGATTAACATAGCCAGGTTTATGAGATATCTCTCCTCTATACAGATAATCCTTGTCAGGAAGATCAAATCTAGAAAATATCACCGGTGGCAAGAATAAAGCTGCATCTCGATTGAAGAACTCATTTCTATCCACATTTTGACGGAGGTGTAATTGGTGAGATATATTCTCGTATCCAGACTCTGCTCTATTAAAAGGAAGATACTGGAAATCTGCCATGGCTGTAAATATAAATTCACAAAATCTTTTATTTACAAATGTAAGGCTGGTGATTTAGATATTTTTTTTTCAACAAAAGTGGACAAATATATTTGCATTATACTACATAATATGCTCTTGAAGGTACCAGAATTGTAGCAGAGACGATTTGGGTATTTCATGTATATATACTATGGCCCTGAAAACCTTCCACAAAATGGCTGCGATAAAATTCTTTCGAGTTTTCATTTTAAGAGGATTTATTATATCTAAGGTAAGTCACAAGATCACCTAACTACCAAAACTATACATTACAGGCTTTACAGTTGTATTTGAGTCATTGAACCATAAACATGAGCTCATGCACAAAAGACACATGGCAGAAAGATTCTTCAGACTTTAAGGCATCAAGATATGAAGAATCCAGCTGTTCTACACTATGACCATTCATAGCTTACGCTTACATTTTTTTGGATTAATTTATCCAATAAGTTTTGAAAAATAAGATGACATTGTCTTGTTCAATCTGATATTAATAAGGGCATTCTTAGATAAACGTTAGGCTATCATTTAAGATTTTAAACATGGACAATTAATACTATTCAAATAAAACTATCGGTACTGCTTTTAGTAAGGAGGTGTGGTATGATTTCCAATTAGACAATAATTTATAAACCAAAGGACAATGATGTAAACAATTACAGGTCACAGTACAGCTATCAATAATGAGCAAAACCCATACTGTATAGTAAGCTATAAAAGGCCCTGGTACGACAAAATGTAAACAATCTAAAAGGGAAAACCAACCACCTCATTTATATTACAACAATGAATCAATAACAAACAACATCCACTGGATTACCTGTTCCTGACTTGGTACACGCACATAAAGAATGTGGTTGGGTTAAATATGTTTGTGAGTCCTCAACCCTCTCCTTAACCTTGGAAAGTGGTGTAACAATAAAGTTCAATCGAGGTATTGAAATTCATAATATTAATAAAAGTGAAGTTTTGAAATTTGAAATATAATCATGATTATGACAGTCAGACATTACAACACATCTCTGTCAAGCTGCTGACCAAATATGAAGTCATTCTGTTCAGTATTACCTGAGAAAAGAGTGGCGAAAATATTCAATTAACAAATGGACAGACAAGATGAATGCCATGTAGCCCCCCTTTCCTAGAATGGGTATTATGTATTAATAGAAAAACTTGACCAACCAACCCCATCCATTTTCAACTTCATTACAAAAAACACCATAAATATTATAATAGTGGCAGAGTCTTTCACAAAATTCTTCCAATTTCTTTTGTTTCTATTGGTAAAAGTCATCAAATGAAATGAGGTAAAAAGACAGTAATTACCTTGGCTTGAGAAAAATGTTTGTGTTCCAACAAAATAATTTATCTTTACTAATTACCATAACACAGAAATGAAAATTATTTTGTTGATATATACACAATCTTATAACTGGTGAGAACTGACCACCAATAATAATCCAAAATTAATATCCTACAATTAAAATCAAATCTATCATATCTATCACAACACATAATATAAAAGGAGATGTTGTACGATTGCCAATGAGACAACTATATAAAGACCAAAGGACAAAGATTTAACAATTACAGGTCATTGGAACGGCCTGATGTCCCACACGGTAAATAATGAGCAAAACATACAAAATAGTTGGCTATAAAACATCATACTGTTAGATACAAGTTATTTTTACCATTAAATTTGTATGTTGTATCAATAATTCCAAGTACTTCAACCTGATACTCATATTGGGATTTATCTCCCTTCTTTGGTCGTCTTTTGACCTTCATCAATAAATTTGTAGTAGAGCATCTTTCACCAAATGCTGGTTTACAGAATGGATCAGCAGGCCTCCAATTTACTGATAATCTCTTGTTTGCTTCTGAATATACCTGTGTTTAAAGTAATATAACATGTAACAAATATTACTACAAGGCTATATATTGATCTGTTGATGTTTTGTGACATTTGAATGCTGTCTCATTGATGTATATTGATCTGTTGATGTTTTGTGACATTTGAATGCTGTCTCATTGATGTATATTGATCTGTTGATGTTTTGTGGCATTTGAATGCTGTCTCATTGATGTATATTGATCTGTAGATGTTTTGTGGCATTTGAATGCTGTCTCATTGATGTATATTGATCTGTTGATGTTTTGTGAAATTTGAATGCTGTCTCATTGATGTATATTGATCTGTTGATGTTTTGTGGCATTTGAATGCTGTCTCATTGATGTATATTGATCTGTTGATGTTTTGTGACATTTGATTGCTGTCTCATTGATGTATATTGATCTGTTGATGTTTTGTGGCATTTGAATGCTGTCTCATTGATGTATATTGATCTGTAGATGTTTTGTGGCATTTGAATGCTGTCTCATTGATGTATATTGATCTGTTGATGTTTTGTGACATTTGAATGCTGTCTCATTGATGTATATTGATCTGTTGATGTTTTGTGGCATTTGAATGCTGTCTCATTGATGTATATTGATCTGTTGATGTTTTGTGACATTTGAATGCTGTCTCATTGATGTATATTGATCTGCTGATGTTTTGTGACATTTGAATGCTGTCTCATTGATGTATAATGATCTGTTGATGTTTTGTGGCATTTGAATGCTGTCTCATTGATGTATATTGATCTGTTGATGTTTTGTGACATTTGAATGCTGTCTCATTGATGTATATTGATCTGTTGATGTTTTGTGACATTTGAATGCTGTCTCATTGATGTATAATGATCTGTTGATGTTTTGTGGCATTTGAATGCTGTCTCATTGATGTATATTGATCTGTTGATGTTTTGTGACATTTGAATGCTGTCTCATTGATGTATATTGATCTGTTGATGTTTTGTGACATTTGAATGCTGTCTCATTGATGTATATTGATCTGTTGATGTTTTGTGGCATTTGAATGCTGTCTCATTGATGTATATTGATCTGTTGATGTTTTGTGACATTTGAATGCTGTCTCATTGATGTATATTGATCTGTTGATGTTTTGTGGCATTTGAATGCTGTCTCATTGATGTATATTGGACATCTCTTTTTATTTAAACATGTATTTGAATTGTAAATTAGACAAAGTGATGCCCCCGCACTCCACTCTGAAGTATCTGTATTATAACAAAGTCAACGTAGGACTTTCATTGAGATATTATTGTGTCTGGGAGACACAAATGATGCCCCCGCAGATGCAAAGTGTTATTTTAAAATACACAAAGTTGAGCATGGGAGCACATAGGTCTCCAGTTCACTGTAGGAGGAGTTATCCGGAAACTCTATGCACCTCCTATGCGAGTATATACTCCAAAATGACAAAGTTCAACTATCTCCCAAAAGAGCAAATATTAATAATAAAATGCTCCGCTGGGCGCAGCTTGATTTGACCGCAGAGGTCGAACCCTGAACAGTTGGAGCAAGTATGGACACAACATTCAAGCTTGATACAGCTCTGAATTTGGATTGTGATTAAATATTTGACACAGCATAGGTTTCTGACACAGAATGAATTTGGTCTAAGAACTTTAAATTTTTTAATTTACCTATTATGGTCCATTATCCAAAATCTAAATACATACACGGTTAGATTCAGCATATCAAAGAACCCCAAGAATTCAATTTTTGTTAAAATCAAACCAAGTTTAATTTTGGACCCTTTGGACCTTAATGTAGACCAATTTGAAAACGGGACCAAAAATTAAGAATCTAAATACACGGTTAGATTCAGCATATCAAGGAACCCCAATATTTCAATTTTTGATGAAATCAAACCATATCATTATCATTTGCTTTTATATAAAAATCAAAAATAACCAACTTAAAATAGAAAATTTTAAAGAAAAAAAAAAAGGAACTAGAGGCTCTCAAGAGCCTGTGTCGCTCACCTGATTCTACTTTGGTTTTGGAAATCATGTAAAAATAGATTAAAATCATAACAGATACCCTAATAATGAGTGAGGCCAAATTTGGTTTAATATTGATCCTGTAATTTGATAAAAAATCCTGGTGGCCATCTTGAACAGTAAATCAGCAACAAAGTAGCAACATTTCATCAGCACCTCATAAGAAACATTTAAGCCATGTTTTGGTTTCATTCCATTCAGTGAACCTCTAGAAGAAGCATTTGTATGTATTTCCCATAGGGTCTTATGTTAAAGGAAGTCCCCCCATTGGCTGCCATCATGGATGAAGGATCAGCTTCAAAGTAACAAAACTTAGTCAGCACCTCATAAGGAACATTCATGCCATGTTTGGTTTCAATCCATTCAGTATGTGGTTCTCTAAAAGAAGACATTTGTATGTATTGTCCCCATCTGGCGGCCATCTTGGATGAAGGATCAGCTTCAAAGTAACAACACTTGGTCAGCACCTCAAAAGGAACATGCATGCCATGTTTGGTTTCATTCCATTCAATGGTTCTCTAAAAGAAAACATTTGTATGTATTTCTCATAGGGTCCTATGTTAAACTAAGTCCTCCGCTGGCGGCCATCTTAGATTATGGATCGGCTTCATAGTAACAACACTTGGTCAGCACCTCATAAGGAACATTCATGCCATGTTTGGTTTCATTGCATTCAGTGGTTCTCTAAAAGAAGACATTTGTATGTATTTCCCATAGGGTCCTATGTTAAACTAAGTCCCCTGCTGGCGGCCATCTTGGATGATGGATCAGCTTCAAAGTAACAACACTTGGTCAGCACCTCATAAGGAACATTCATGTCATGTTTGGTTCATTCCATTCAGTGGTTCTCTAAAAGAAGACAATTGTATGTATTTCCCATAGGGTCCTATGTTAAACTAAGTCCCCCGCTGGCGGCCATCTTGGATTATGGATCGGCTTCATAGTAACAACACTTGGTCAGCACTTCATAAGGAACATTCATGCCATGTTTGGTTTCATTCCATTCAGTGGTTCACTAAAAGAAGACGTTTGTATGTATTTCCCATAGGGTCCCATGTTAAACTAAGTCCCCCGCTGGCGGCCATCTTGGATTAAAGATCGGCTTCAAAGTAACAACACTCCGTCAGCACCTCATAAGGAACATTCATGCCATGTTTGGTTTCATTCCATTCAGTGGTTCTCTAAAAGAAGACATTTGTATGTATTTCCCATAGGGTCCCATGTTAAATTAAGTCCCCTGCTGGCGGCCATCTTGGATTATGGATCTTCTTCAAAGTAACAACACTCGGTCAGCATCTCATAAGGAACATTCATGCCATGTTTGGTTTCATTCCATTCAGTGGTTCTCTAAAAGAAGACATTTGTATGTATTTCCCATAGGGTCCAATGTTAAACTAAGTCCCCTGCTGGCGGCCATCTTGGATTATGGATCGGCTTCATAGTAACAAAACTTGGTCAGCACCTCATAAGGAACATTCATGCTATGTTTGGTTTCATTCCATTCAGTGGTTCTCTAAAAGAAGACATTTGTATGTATTTCCCATAGGGTCCCATGTTAAACTAAGTCCCCCGCTGGCCGCCATCTTGGATTATGGATCGGCTTCAAAGTAACAACACTAGGTCAGCACCTCATAAGGAACATTCATGCCATGTTTGGTTTCATTCCATTCAGTGGTTCTCTAAAAGAAGACATTTGTATGTATTTCTCATAGGGTCCCATGTTAAATTAAGTCCCCTGCTGGCGGCCATCTTGGATTATGGATCAGCTTCAAAGTAACAACACTCGGTCAGCATCTCATAAGGAACATTCATGCCATGTTTGGTTTCATTCCATTCAGTGGTTCTCTAAAAGAAGACATTTGTATGTATTTCCCATAGGGTCCAATGTTAAACTAAGTCCCCTGCTGGCAGCCATCTTGGATTATGGATCGGCTTCATAGTAACAAAACTTGGTCAGCACCTCATAAGGAACATTCATGCCATGTTTGGTTTCATTCCATTCAGTGGTTCTCTAAAAGAAGACATTTGTATGTATTTCCCATAGGGTCCCATGTTAAACTAAGTCCCCTGCTGGCCGCCATCTTGGATTATGGATCGGCTTCAAAGTAACAACACTAGGTCAGCACCTCATAAGGAACATTCATACCATGTTTGGTTTCATTCCATTCAGTGGTTCTCTAAAAGAAGACATTTGTATGTATTTCCCATAGGGTCCTATGTTGAACTAAGTCCTCCGCTGGCGGCCATCTTGGATAATGGATCAGCTTCAAAGTAACAACACTTGGTCAGCACCTCATAAGGAACATTCATGCCATGTTTGGTTTCATTCCATTCAGTGGTTCTTTAAAAGAAGACATTTGTATGTATTTCTTATAGGGTCCTATGTTAAACTAAGTCCCCCGCTGGCGGCCATCTTGGATTATGGATCGGCTTCATAGTAACAACACTTGGTCAGCACTTCATAAGGAACATTCATGCCATGTTTGGTTTCATTCCATTCAGTGGTTCTCTAAAAGAAGACATTTGTATGTATTTCCCATAGGGTCCCATGTTAAACTAAGTCCCCTGCTGGCCGCCATCTTGGATTATGGATCGGCTTCAAAGTAACAACACTAGGTCAGCACCTCATAAGGAACATTCATGCCATGTTTGGTTTCATTCCATTCAGTGGTTCTTTAAAAGAAGACATTTGTATGTATTTCTTATAGGGTCCTATGTTAAACTAAGTCCCCCGCTGGCGGCCATCTTGGATGATGGATCCGCTACAAAGTAACAACACTTGGTCAGAACCTCATAAGAAACATTCATGCCATGTTTGGTTTCATTCCATTCAGTGGTTCTCTAGAAGAAGTTCAAAATGTAAAAAGTTAACGACAACGATGGACGACGCCGGACGACGGACGCCAAGTGATGAGAAAAGCTCACTTGGCCCTTTTGTCCAGGTGAGCTAAAAAAAGGACCCCCCCCCCCCAATTTTTT